GGGAAGGGAAGGGAAGGGAAGGGAAGGGAAGATGCATAATAGAGTCAGGTTTCACACCTGGAAGAATATTCCTATCTTCAATTTAAGAAAATAAAATTCACCTAAGAAATATAGGCAATGTAAACAAAGTGTCATTTACAGAATTTAGGCGAAGAAAGGAGTAACTAAATATAGAGCAATTCAGTTCTAATTATCCAATTTCAATGAACATTTAGTGGAAATTAAGACAATGGATAATAACGACAGTCAGGCTCATTAGCTATTTAAGAAGATGCCAAGGACATTAAAACTTGTTGCAGCCAATTGTTATGTAGTAATTTTAGATCAAGTATAGAACTAACTAGTGTATCCAAAAGATTATACAGTTGTTGTTTTTTTGAATAAGTTAGAATCCTTTCATTTCTCTTCTCAGAACTGGATGAATCTTCAGAATCTGTTTTTGACTCAGTGGAAAAAGCATTTTAGAATTTTTATCCAAGGCCTTTTCTCCTCAGCCTCCTAAATTATGCCAAACACAATACACTTTTTATATTAAAACAATCTTTCTGATAACCAAACCTGGACGCAGCTGCACTGAAGCTTCTCCTGGTATCACTTGAATATTAACCTCATTACTGGGTATTGTTACATCAACTTTGGGACTTTCTATGAAATCTGGCCTGCAGCCTCTTTGGATTAAATGTAAAACTATGTCACATCGTTCCTTCAGCTTTGTTCCAGCCATGAAATCCTATTTCCAAAAAAAAAAAAAAAAAAAAGGGCAAAATAAATAACAAAATTGTAAGAAGTTGGGGAACTTTCATTTCCAGAAAATATACTGTAGTATCACATAATCAAAAAATTATTATCCCAACCAACAATGAAGCCAACATAACCAAACCAATTATAATACCACTTATTTTGAAGACAGGTGAGATAGTGTTGCACAGTGCAGCAGGTTGGATGCTGATGGGAATTAAGCATATATTCAGGCTATAAGAAACCAGCATTAGTTACAATAGTAGACTATGTAGTTGCTGGGACTCCAGCTACAGAGAGCCTTGGAGGAAATAGATTATTTGAATACTTTTCAGTCAAGTTTCAGAACTGAGTACTGGTAGCAACTCTTGGGAATAACTTGGTGAAAACTCTTGGGGACAACTTGTGGCAAGGCCAAGATAATGGGAGCGCAACCCTCTAGACTCACTTGATGTCTCAGTAACCTTCAAAATCATAAGTTGTGGAAATCTTTTGAACCTTCTCCAAGATTTGGGAATAGGGGCACTGTTCTGCAGTAGTTGTCCCCTTTCTTAATGGGGTAGTTCCAGTCAGTCATGGAAATGAGAAGTGCATGACCCTTAGGGTCTTCCATGGAGTGCTTGTTCCTCTTATTTATCATCTACATGAAACCACTGAGGGAGGTCAATGATATGTTGATGATACTCAAGCCTGAGGCAATCAGAAACTGTGGTTAGGGTTTTGTCCCAGTGACTAGAGGAGGTTAAGAGTCTGGATGGGGAGAAACAGGCTTAAACTCAATCCCAGCAAGATAGAATAGCTTTGGAAGCCATCTGAAGCCAGATATATTCCATCTGGAGGGTTTGTAATTCCTGTGTTGAACTGGCTCATAATCTGGGGCTCCTCATGAACTCACATCTCCTAGTTGAAGAACAAGTGGCAGCTATGGGTAGAAGGGTTTTATACAACTTCATCTTGTGTACTAGTTAGTAGTCTTTTCTGAATGAGAAAGCCCTACTGAATCACTCATTCTTTGGTCACTTCACACTTGGACACTGACTTGATGGCACATAACCATTATCAATCATCAAGGTATTCTACATGGTACTGCCCTTGAAGACCACCTAGAAGCTACAGCTGGTCCAGAGCCAGCTTGGGACACAGGTAAGTCAGTCAGCTGGGTGGTTGGATGACTTGAGGATATTCAGGAATGGCAGGAGATAGTAAAAGGGATGATTTTTTTCCCCATGTCACGACAGGTATTAAAATAAGTAAAGTCTCCTTCCTGTTCAGCTCAATTCTTGATGACGTCATGAACACATCTATATAGTTTTCTTAGCAACAATATAGAATCATTTTGCCACTATAGCTTCTCAGGATCTCTTTTTTTGTATATCCCAGTCTAGCCTTCATACCTGTTATTACCCCAATGATCTCCCATCAAAATACTAGCCAGACCCAATCCCGCTTAGCTTCCTAAAGTTATTAAAACTAATTTTATTTATAGGTATACTTCTGTCATATTTTTTTAGGTTCAACTATTTAAGAAAGTAAATTGCTGTGTCCCTGCACGATTTCAGGAAAACACACAACTGCTTTGCTAATGATCCTACGTGAGAAATCCCATAAGTTTCCCAAGCACCTTTCCCCTTCAAAACTGAAATGCTGCATAGCCCTATTGTATATGTAGAGAACAGGAAGGTAAACAAATAAACATCAGCTGACTAATACAAAGAAAGTGCTCACCTCTTGAACACACCATCCACATTCTGGACCCACAGCAAGACAGGCAGTACATGTTGCTGCATTTGAAATAGCACATCTGTTGTCTGCTATAATAAGAAATAGACTGTTAAACCAATTGCAAACGTTCAGAGGACCAAAGCATAGCTTGTAAAATGCTAATCCTCATGCTAATGACATCTTTTATTTTAGAAATAGGGCAGCTCTACTGGAGAGCATGAATATAATATTATCAGCATTTTGATCCTAAACCAAAATAGGAAGTGATGCAATCATAGCATACAAAGAGGGACATTCATAAATACTCCGTAGAAGGTCCTAGAAACTTCAAATTTGGAGTAAGATTTTCCCCATCTCTTTTTGAAAAGCAAGCAAGCAAACAAACAAATCAGAACAATTCTGGTGGCTGGATAGTAACATCTTTGTGTTTTTTAGAGATAGGGCTTGCTTCTTTATACTCTAGCCAGGGATCAGCAATGTTTAGCAGTAGAGAAGCTATTGAATTACAGTTCCCAGCATTCATGCTTCCTAAGGATGCTGAGCATTTTTGATCAACAGCTAGAATGCCATATGTCACCTACTCTGATTCAGCCGGTAGGTACACCCAACTTGGTTCCTGCTTGGTTCATTCATGGCAATTCTGTTTCAGTTATAGCTTTTCCCAGCAGGTCAACATACAGGCCTATAGAACTGGCAAGCTGAAGCAGGCACGGGGTACATATTTCATAGAAATCCCACTGGTAGCCCTAGTTAACATTACTGCTGCACCTGCCTCCTACCAAGTGCTGTAAACTTTTCTTAGATTTTATTATTAGTTATTGCTTGTCATAAACGGAGCATTTATCTCTCAGGTTAAAAAGCTGCACTAATTTGGCCAAGTTACCATGACCGCTACCATTTATTTCCAAACCATATCCCTTAGATACTTGATACGTTGCTAGAAGTTTGCACTGTACAAAGGGACAGCATGCCATCAACTATTTTCAACCCTTTGTCAGAGAATACTGGAAGAGAGCCATTGAAATATAATCTGTTTTGTGTCCAGTCACTTTGCAGAGTTTCAGCGTGGCAGCAATGAAATATTGCTCCATATCCATAGAAGAGGAAAATTAAAAGGTTTATCTATTTCAAATCCTACAACAGAAATTGTAACATTTTGGTATTAAATGATAGGCCTCTTTTTTCAGTGTGGGCCAACATGAGATGAAAGGAATAAACCAAAATGTCAATGACTCTTTTCACTAAAAAGTGAATAGCAGCACATTAAAAACAATTTTGAAAGCTAGGCAGGCCAAACCAGAGTCAGAACATGCTTCCAGAATATATTTTGGTAATGCATACTTAAAAACATATGGCAAAGAGCTGGATGTGAGCCATATGCTGATAAATGAACTACAAGAACAGCAAATTTTCATGGTATAAATCTCGCTGAGTCTTCATTTCAGTCTGTTTATTGGAACTCGTATTTGAAAGATAATCATGTTACACAATATTTACTTATTCAATTTAAGTGCTGTTTTACTTCTAGCATGTCATTAAAAATATATATATCACCTAGCTTTCTCTGTATCTCTGACTTCATACAGCTCACCAAAAGCTGTATCACTGAAATGTATATCGTCTGGAGATATATTACAGGGAAAAGTATACCGGTAAGATGCATTCTTCTCAATCAGTCCATCTAACTTAACTGGTTTCTTGATCTGGTCTACCTCACAGAATTGGCAGTGCCAAACTTGTATTATTGCCCTCTGTTGTATACTTTTTGGCCCTCTTTGTATTTGTGCAAGTCTTGACAGTAGAAAGAACCTAGCAAAGGATATGCTTTTGTCCAACTAATTTTTGTTATCCACAACTCAGAGCCTAACAATAGAGCAACCACTGCACACACAAAAGTCAGCAGGAGAGAGGGCCTGTAACAAGGCTTGATGAACCATATTTGTTTTCAGATCATGCAATAATAAGCGTTAAAAGGAGACAAACACGAGTTCGGGTTACGTAATTTTAAAAATAGGATTCAAAATCTGTTTGGTTAATAGTACGTTCCAATAATTTCTTACAGAAATAACATTTACAGACATGTATTCATTCATAAAATATTTGATTTATCTGCCAGTCTACTTCGAAAAAATTAGAATTAAGGCATAACTAAATTATATGTTTTTTCTTTCTTTTCTAAACCTTATAATAAAGCTGGAAATATTTTTACAACTTGGCTCACTATAGACTTTTCTTACCATTTTACTAGTAGAATCCAGACAAAACTGAAGAACTATGTTGCCAAAAAATCAACAGACAAGCTTCTACTAGCTTTAGTTAAATAACAGCTATGTGCCAATAGGTATTTTAAAACAAGAGAAGCCACACTTTGGCTCTAATACATTGAGCAGTCATATGTATGTATAAAACCCTTAGGCATAGTTGGTTCTACAATGTCAATGCATACATCAAATTATGCATTCTAGGAGAATTACATTTCAGTTCCCTAAACAAGACTTAATAGGCCAGGTATTGCAAGAATGAATATTTTTTGGTGGTGGGAGGGAGGATATTCTTCAGACAAGACAAAATGCAATGGTAGACCTGATTTAGATTATGCCACACATACTGTGCAAGCCACAAAATGCTCAAATCAAGTTCTTTACTCTGAGGATTTATTACATGGACCCCAACATTATAATTAGCTCTCTTAAAATCAGCCAGTCATCTAAGCCCAGTACATAGTTGTTCAATCAGCAGTAAGACATTTGATTCTCAAACCCCAGAGTAGGAGCAGAGGTGGAGAAACAAGGAGCTAGATCTGTCTAAAAAGCAGACAGTTCTGGAATTAATGTTTGCATATATCAACAACTTACAGGTTACTTATTATCTCAGGAAGCCTTAATGATACTAAAATAACTGTATTGGACAGTCTGCAACTTATTTTCAATGTGTTAATTATAACAATAAGAATAATCATTTCTCAGCAAAATTGGAATTCTGGAGAATTCCTTGAATTTGGCATAAAGAGAAAAATAGTTTTGTCTACCAAGCCAGACTAAGAAATTCCTAAAAAAAATGCTTGTTATTTATTTTTAAATAAACTTTAATGCTTTTTCTCTCAGTACCATAAAATGTGTAGTCTACATTATATTTAAACCTTTTCATTTGTGCTAATACGTATGGTTAACTTATATTGACTAAACATGAGGGAGAGACCTTTTCATATTAATTTTACTACTGCCAACTTTCTCATTTCAAGCATATTGCAAACAAAAGATGATTCTTGTCAATCTTCTGCACATACAGTATTTGGAATTAGTGTCCCATAAAAAACAGAATATGCTTCACAAACAAAAAATAATTCTAAGATTATTACTTTCACCAAAATGCACATCTCATGTTTCTTCCTGACAGAATGAATGTTGTTATTCAAGTTTTGCCTCAGAATACTCCTAGTATTAAAGTGAATTTTATATATACTTTTCAAGCATAAAAATATTAATTATTCATTTTCTTTGAAACATACTTGAAAAATGCTCATTCAATATTGTTTTCCTTCAGGCTTATTCTTTCTCATGCACCTTAATTTTTCTCTTGCAATACACAATAGTTTAAGAAATTACAAACTGAAATCATTCATCTAACACTTAGCTATTCATTTACCTGTTGCCATGCAGGTAAATGCAACTCTTGAGCATTCTTTTTTCTGTCCTGATTTATCAGGGTATAGAAAAATCTGTTGAGCCTGAGAGGCAATAATGAGTTCAAAGGGACTTACAAAGTAGCAATGAATTTGGAGTTTGGGTTTTACAGCAGGTCTGGAATACTTCCTTTCTTCTGATTATAAGAAAAAAACAGCTGCCAAGCTTTTTGATACTAGTCCTGCTTATTCAGCAGCATTAGACTGAGCTAATATGCACTTGAATTCATCAATTGTTGACTGCAACATCACATGATATCCGCATATAAAGGGCCAGCATAAATCTAACACTACTATAGGCAGCATTATACTCCTCAGAGTCATCAGGAATACAACAAAGATTTCCTTGTTGGCTATGCCTTTGAGGGACTTACTGGCAAAGCCTTTTGCACATCTGTAACTGGTGCTGAGAGTTAGGAAGAAACCACATTCCATTTAACTGCTGGTGCCCTCATATCATAGTAAACATGTGCAATGACCTCCAAACCCTACCCTATGACTTCCACAATATGTTTGAGGAAAAGGTCTACTGAGTGTGCCCAAATTATCCCATTCTCATATCTATCTCTAATGATTTGACTGTAACGTAAACATGATCTGTTTATTTTAAAGATAAAAGTATTTGAGGTAAAAGTGTCTCTCTGTGTTGTAATCTGCTACCATGGTGCAAAGTGTGAACATTCACTTCTGGTTTATATTTACTTAACCAAGTTTCTAAACAAATTAAGAAGAGGAGTCCCTAGATTTAGACAGGATAAATTAGTTTAGCTTGAGTAGCTGAAGTACTCTTTTCAGAGCTGAAATTATTTAAACCTTATATCTGAATAAGCCAGCTTCAAAAATGTGGTTCATGGTCCTTGCTCATTGGCTTAAACCATCGTCAGAACTGTGTCTTAATGTTCAAATTTAGACAAACTACAGTTACCTGAAAACAAGAAACAAAAGCCTCTTATTTCTCTCTCCCACAAATCCTGGGAGGATAGGTAAATAACTCATTCTCTGACCACTAAACTGGGCCTTAACATTATATCCAAGCATGACCAAAGAGTGTGAAGTCAAATATAACTGATCTGTTGATAATGTCTAATGGTTCAACATTTGCCATGCTACCCCTATGTAATGGTATGTGGAAATGACCTTGAGAGACAGGAAGGAGAGTTGCAGATGGAATAACTGGTATGTAAAAGATGTCTCAGCCCACAGAAGTGGGGATGGCATGGGAAATGTTTCAAAGGGACCCTCCCTAGTTTTCCAGAGAGTAAAAGGAAAGGAGGGGAGAAATACTTTCAATCTTGCAATATTCTGTTAATGTAACTTGCAATAAAGATAGAACTAGTACTCCTGGTTGTGCTTCTTGTCTGGACTACCTCATAGGGCTAACACCCTAATATACATTTTTATACACAA